CAGTGTGAGCAAACGAATGTGCTCGAGGTCGTGTTGGGCAGTTACAGGCACCTCCATCTTCACAGGAACGGCTCAGGTTTTAAATGCAGCATGAAAAGCACAGAGTTGCTGCAGTAGAGAGGTTTTTATGTTACAACTCTGCTGCTCTGTGCAGCTGAAGGGGGCAGCGCCCACACGGCAACACAAAAGTCTAAAACAGATATTTAAGAAGTCATTAAAGCAAAGTCAAAAGACAGGAGAATCTCAGTGAATGCATGAAACACTGTCCTGCAGCGATGCTTCTTATCTGTTTAACCTTCTTCAGCAAAGTGTGCACACACAGTATCAGCTGTTTTATTCTATTACGGTTATTTTGGGGCATTTTTATGCAGTTGTTGGATGGTTGAGCAGTGATGAAAGACAGGAAAGTGGGCAGAGACGGGGAAAGACAAAGGACTGCAGGTGTGAGTCAAAGCTGCACTGTGGCCACGTGTCACACGGTCGCCCACTGAGCTGAACTGGCGTCCCAGCGAGCTGTAAGTGTAAGCAGGACGTAAAGCTGCCTCCTCTCCTTTTCCAGGCTGATAAGTTCCACATATATGTGGATTACTGCAAGAACAAACCAGACTCCAGCCAGCTGATCCTGGAGCACGCGGGCACCTTCTTTGATGTGAGTATCACAGCACCATCACAGCACCATCACTGCACCATCGACGCTTATCGTCCCCACCAGTCGCTGTCTTTTGATTGACTTTTGATTGTTCTGGGAAAAAATATAAAATCATGTTACATCTGATGTGAAGAGCACGTTAAGAAGTGTGAAAACATACCTGCTGGACAAAATCACACAACAGCTGATTGTTTGAGTCATTATAAATGTGGATGTGTTTCCTGTGTCAGCATAGTGACATCCATCTAGTGTTAATGTAACAGTAGTGTCAGGTCTGTATGTGTGTTAGTGTGCAAAGTGTGCGTATCCCCATGTTTGTGAAGGTAACATCTGTCTTATGTTTGATATATTAAAGTGGCTTCGATGCAGGACACTCTGAGTTAGTTACTGGACAGCTTGTGAAAACACACAGCAGCTCCCAAACACTCTGATGAAGAGGAGGAAGCTTCACTTTATCGATGAGGATGTACTTTTCTAAGAACGAGTCAAATTTCTCAGTTTCATTTGCAAA